TCCGAGACTTGTCAGCTGCATAATGCACCTGGCTGGAGACCTAAAAAACCCCTTTAGTAGCATCCGTCCCTTTAGAGCAGCAATAGTCCCAAAAATTGTTCAAACTCCAAGTCATTGAGGAGCGCGCCGGGTGGTGCTCCATATGGAGCTGGGCCTGGACAAATGCAGTGGATATAGACAAAATGCCTTTTGCATTTTTTCTGTTAGGTTCAGAAACCCCACTCTCTCATGAAGCATCCAAAAGCAGTAGCGACACACGGCCCTTTTCGTCCCGCAACCCTTTTCGTCTTAAGCAAAGGATGGCATGGGCTTGTAGCTGACCTTCACGGGATCTTTACTGCCAGTCCTGGCCAGGAGGTCCTCCTCATAGTCGGAGTAACCTCCTTCGAAGAATCTCACAGAGGACTCTCCCTCATAGGCAATGATATGGGTGGCAATGCGATCTAAAAACCAGCGGTCGTGACTGATGCACAGCACGGTGCCCGCAAAGTTTTCAATGGCAGTTTCTAGTGCCCGCAGCGTCTCCACATCAAGATCGTTAGAGGGCTCATCCAGCATCAGCAGATTGCCACCCATTCTGAGGGTCTTGGCCAGTTGTAGGCGGTTTCGCTCACCACCACTCAAGGAGGAGACAGTCCGCTGTTGGATTGAGCCTCTGAAGTTGAACCAGGAGCAATAAGCCCTGCTGTTCACCTCCCTTCCACCAATGTCAAAGGACTCAAGTCCGTCTGTGAGTTCTTCGAAGACGGTGGAATTGGGGTCTAAGTCCTCTCGCAATGTGGAGCTTCTTGCTACTAGTAGGAATGCCCTTGTTACTGATAACGATGCAGTTGTTACTCCTAGCGTCCTTTGTTCCTAGTAGTAATGCCAGGAGATAGTAGTAGCGCCCTTGCTACTAGTAGCGATGCACCTGGTTACTGTCTAAGTCCTCTCGCATCTGCTCCACATACATGGGAGCCACAGTCTTCCCCAAGATCACCTCACCGTCGTCAGGCGTCTCCTGAGGATGACAAGATCGCAGCCAAAAATATTACATGAGTCACACATCACATCCAAAATAATCTTCCTTGCTTTAGAGCGTCTGATAGAAGCAAAGAAGACCTCCTAAAAAGGACAAAGTATAAAGAAAGGAATACAGTTGGAATCTTGAGGCAAAAGAACAAGCCTTTAGATAAGTTGGATGATACAAGCTACCAGGCTAGCGGCTAGCCTTGCTAAGGTCATGGACTCCACCCGTCCTTTCTTTAAGTGAGTGGTTCATGCAACCAAACGTCATTGCAATGGCAAGTTTTTGAAAAGGAGAGAGTGCAAGACCTTTTTTCCTCTCTCCTACTCAACTCTTTGGTGGGTCCAATTGTCTTACATTTGCCTTGATTCTTTACTCCGTAAATTTGCTTTCTGCATTCCTTTTCTGCTCGCATCTTTCTATTCGCAGTCGTGTTGCAGTACCCATCATCATCTTAAAGAGAGTGGATTTGCCAGCACCATTGGGGCCAATGATGCCGACAACCGAGCCAGGTGGGATCCTTGGAGGCACCGATGCACCGGCTAAGAGCGATGGCCTCCAACCGAATAGCAACTTTATGCAACGTTTAAATTCTACAAACCGAAAGGGGAACTGGTGTGAGAGGTAGGTAGAAATTATCATTCAAATGTTTGATTCCAACAAAGGTGTTTGGAAACGCTTGGCAGAGTCGCCAGTGTAGCCGCGAAACTTTTCTCAAGCACTGAAGCTCCCTAATTATAGCTCCTTCTGGTGTGTCTTTGCGTCTTTCGTCTTTGTTTTGACTTGTTTGCGCGTCGTCAGTTTCGAGTTGTCTGTGACTGGCCGGTGGTCACAATGAAGCAGTGAAGATGAGCTGCTCGAAGTTTGCATCGTCAATGAGTAGACGAGTACCATAGCCCTTGGAGGCATGCTTCACTTGCACCACTGCGTTTCTTGGATCCTCAGTTCACTTTTGGAAGACATTTGAATACAAAATGTTCGCTACTAGGAGCAAAGGGCATCGCTACTAGGAGCAAGGACGCTACTAGGGGCTCCTGGCCTTACTACTAGGAGCAAAGAAGCTAGTAGAAACAAGTGCATCGCTACTAGTAACAAGTGCCTTACTAGTAGTAACAAGGTTCGCTACTAGGAAATAAGGTTCCTTGGATCCGTTCGATTTCGAGCCTGGCCGCACAGTCCGTGCCATGTGCGACGAGTGGCCAGGCGAGGCCCGGGAGTGATCACGATGGAATCCAGTTCAGAATTGCGATTGAACGATGCGGCTGCAGCTTCCAAGTCTTCATATTTTCCTCAGCCACGAAGCACCATGACCTTTGTAACTCATGACCATGACACTTGATAAAGGACATCAAGAGCTCATGCTACATGACTCACCCAACTCCTAGTTGTTGAATTCCTCCAAGGCTCGCAGACGTGCCTTGCCCTTCTTCTGCCTTGGTCTGGACTGAACATGTTTTGACAAGTCGCTCAGTGCAGTGGACATGGAAACCCGGCCTGCCACTGCGATTGGCATTGATAAACTCCAGCTCCTCACAACGTAACAAGCTACTAGGAACAAGTGCATCGCTTCTAGTAACAAGTGCCTTACTACTAGGAGCAAGGACGCTACTAGGAACAAAGAAGCGAGTCCCACATCCAAAACGGGCCCGATCTGATCACTAGCTCACCCTTGCGAATTAAAGGATGTTCAAGGAAAGTGCGGGAGCGGCATAGATACCTACAACTTAAGGCGCGCTAGTAGCGGTCGTGCTCTAAAATTGTAAGAAAAGAAAAGAGCAAAGAAAGGTCCGATGACCCTGATTCTTTACGAACTCTAGGTTAAGTGCAGCAGGCTTGAAAGAACAAGGGTCCAGCTGGCAGCAAGAAAGCATACACCTGATTGCAGAAGCCAGAGTCAACCCAAATGATCAGCTAGCATTCACCTGCAGCTTGTTGAGGGATTCTGGAGGTAAACAGTTTTAGAGTCAGAGATCAGCAGCCTCTCTCTGAGGAATCAGTCTCCAGGACAAAGTTTAAAGTTTGGATTTCTGGGTTCCAAAACGTATACCTAACGCACCTAAGGTTGACACGCCGGCAGTCATTCTGCATGACATCCCGGTGCGGCTTAATTTTTAGAGAAAGTGGAACCACTTGGGATAGAAACGTGTGCAGTCTGAAGGGATGGAAATATCGAGACGGGACCCTTCTGGTGGGTTCTTTGGCGCATCTGGTCATCCGCACTCCGTCCTTGGCCATCTGGGATTCCAAGGTGGCCTTCCGTTTCTCTTCGGATGCCAGCCTGTTTGCTTTGAACTCAAGCCAGCCAGAGTAGTTGCCTTGAAACGGAATGCCTTTGCCCCGGTCCAGCTCCAAGATCCTTCGCAAGTGGGGAGACGGAAAACATGGATTATACAAGCATAGCCCCCAAACAAATCCAAACAGTTTCAGCAGGAGTTGTTTTGTTTGCGTAATTCCTTGAATTCAAGTATTGGTGGAAACGTCTGCAAAATATGTTCCTATGACCGCCAGCTGTTAGCAAAATAGTTACTTTTGTCGGAACGGAGTGATATCAAATTTGGGGCCCTGCATTTACCCTGGCGGCACTCATATCAAGGTGGTAGAGAAACGGAAAACAGCTCAACCGCAGGGGACAGGGTGTGGACGTGGACAAGGCCGGACAAGCGGAGAAGAGGGCGGATGGCGGGGCCACGGCTACTGTTGCCAGCCCTTTTTACCTACTAGCGATGGCCTCCAACCTACAGAGAACCCCAAACCTATACGGTTTGGAAACCAAATTCCCAAAAATGAGCACTATACAGTACGGTTTATCTGTGATTGTTTCATAAGGCGCATCCCTTCCCATTCAACTGCCCATGTCAGACTACTTCACAAGCGGGTGACCAGCCCGCGACATTGTCGAGGAAGTAGCGGTCGTGCGTGATGGCAACCACAGTGCCCTGGGCCACACAGCTCAGCTGGCTTAGCTCGAATTACATTGTGCTGTTGTGGGTTTCATGGTTATTCAATGGTTCTTCATGGTTTTCCAGTTTTTGGCCAGAAAAAACATCAAAGGCTTCATGTTCAAAGACGTTTTGAAGTTTCACGCCTTGAAGTCTGCAAGGAATCGCTCCAGCCATGCCACACTTTGCGCATCCAGGTGGTTGGTGGGTTCGTCCAGCAGCAAGATGTCTGGTTGGGACCTCCCATGATCGACAAGGGAGTGGAATGGTTGGCCTCCAACCTACTAGCGATGGCCGCAGGGCCCACACAACAAAATCCTGCCCCTAGTAGCTTCTTGTTACTACTAGTAAGGCACTTGTTACTAGAAGCGATGCACTTGTTCCTAGTAGCTTCTTGTTACTGGTCGCGATGCACTTGTAACTGTAGGTTTTTTACATGAAAAAAATGCATTGTGAATCTCTGAGGGGCAAAAGCAGCCGACAAATGGCCACACGGCGCAGCTCGCCGCCACTCAGTGTCGCGATCTTCGCGTCGCGTGGCGGGCAGCGGAGCGCTTCCATGGCCTGCATAGCTCAAACTAAGACACTGGCGGTGCAGAAGCAGGCAAGCAGGCAAACAAACGGGTTTTTTTGATCTCTTTTGGTTAGCAATAGTAACAAGAACGCTTGTAGGAGCAAGTGTATCGCTTCTAGTAACAAGTGCCTTACTAGTAGTAACAAGAAGAAGTATGTTTTGGAATGATGAAATGTCAACTGGCAAAGAGAAAGAGAACTCCTATGGCCTGATCGAGCTTCTCGTCGATTTGCCATCCATTCATGGCATCAATCTTTGTTTGAAGCTTTTCCATCTCCACCATTAACTCGTCAATGTCAGCATCAGGCTCGGCCATTTGCATGCTGACATCTTCAAATCTCTTCACCATGTCTTTGACATTTTGCACCGCGGGCTCTAAGGTTTCAATCACCATGTCCTCTTCCAAAACGGGCTCCTGAGGCAAATATCCAACTCGGATCTCAGGATCCATGTGGAGTGTCCCTTGAAACTCATCGTCTTGCCCAGCCAGGATTCGCATCACGGTGCTTTTTCCGGCTCCGTTCCGCCCCAAGATGCCGATCTTGGCACCCATGTACATGCCCAAACACACGTCCTGGCCGAGCAAAAAAACCAGAGAACATGCCTTTCAAGGGACTTGAGTAAAACATCTGCTAGTACTCGTTTGGGGTTACATGCGTTAAGCCACAGAAACGTCCTTCAAGATGTAACTTCCATCCTGAGCCTTCTTCTCCACATGGTCCAAGGACAGGATAATGTCCCGTGTCTCTTGATCATATGCATCAGGGGCTGCACTCCCCGAGGACGGGATTGGTGTCGAGGACGGTGCACCGCCCTTGCTCTTGCCTTTTCCGCCCTTGCTCTTCTTGCGCGCAGCGCGCGCGACCGAGATGTGCCGCCCCAACTGGGCGGAGGCCACAGCGCAGCAAAGAGAGCGCAACTGCGATGGTCCAATGCTCCTCGGCTCAAACCCGGACGACCATGATCCAAACAAGTTGAGTCCGGACGCCTGGTACACTCCGGTGGCAACAAATCAATGTTTCGATGTCATCGACGCGCGTGGAGAGCTAAATGCAGCAGTGCATCTGCTGTCTTTGGGTCTGCGGTCTTAAACATAAATGGCGCACATGTCCATGCTCAGGTGCAAGCACAAAGGCCATTGCCATGGCATCAGCTAGCCAGTCTCTAAATGGTGGCTGTGTGATGCTGCGTGACTACGTGACATGCGTCTCCATTTTGCAGCACAATGCTATACAATTTGGAAGTCCACACTGGAAGCTTCAGTCACAAGAAGCTACTAGTAACAAAGGGCATCACTACTGGGAGCAAGGACGCTACTAGTGAAGGTAGCACAACCGAACACGGGTGGCGTCGACCGACGACGCACGGACGCGAAGGCGCTATGCCAGCATGCTTTTCTGGCTCATTGATCCCGCCCTTGCGGTAGCGACGAACGTGCTGGTGTACCCTGTGTGGAGTCCATGCGTCACATGTCATGAATGCTAGGTCCATGCTGTCCAGAAATCACATCAACCCCATTTCTGGACTCCAAAGCGGGTTCCCAGCACCATTTGTTCTCAGAGGACCATCCTTCGAGAACCTTCACGAAAAATTCCTGCTGGTGCCGAATGGCTTCTTGCAAAGCCTTCTTCTTCAGCTTTCGGCCTGCAGTGAACTTCTCATCATCTACAAGGCGCCACTTCTGGCCGGCTGCCAGGAACTGCAAAAAGGAACGGCGTTCATTGCCTTTCGTGAGGCAATCGGCTAACTGAGCTAGCCCGTTCACCCAGCGGAGAGCTGTTGAAATCTGAAGGGCTTGCTGTACAGAAATTGAAAGTTCATATCCTGCCCTAGCCGACCTTAAGCCGTGAAGCGCTGAAACATTCCTGGACATGGCATCAAAAATGCCTCTTGAATCCATGACAATTGCTCCTGTCGTGCAATCTCGTACCTGTTGGTACATGGAATGGCGTTCCAGCACTACGCCATGCAGCTCGGCCCACATGGCCCTGATTTTGAAGGTGTTGTCCTCGCCTTCTGTGATCCCTTGGATCTCTGCTCCATTGCTTCCCAACACCTGTCGCGGTGTCTTTGCCGACTTCCACGACAACACTGCCACGATGTGCTCCTCGCCATGCAAAATGCCCTTGGGGGCAAGTCCAGACAACACTCCCAGCGTCGACCCTTTGTCGGGCCTGTTTTGTTGGCCAGCGTCACTCCATGTGATGATCGACAAATCCTGCCAGTGTGATCCCCAATGTGGAAAAATCAAACACTGCTCTGAAGTGCGCTTGATTTCGCGAACCAACTTGTTTGCTTTCAATGCTGTCTGTACTGTTGCAAATGGAACTTCGCTCAGGAGCAAACCAATGTCTGCAGCATAGTGGGGGCCAGATTGACTGGCCTTCCAGGCAGCTGATCCGAGAACACCTCGGAGTTGGGGTTGGGACACTTCTGAGGCCGTCAGGTAGGACTTCACCTCCTTGGAGCGATTTGGGGAGAGCTCCATCTCATCCAGCCATTTCTGGATGTAGTCCTTCTGGTCAATGCGGATCTCCTTGGTGGTTGGGCTTTGACGAATGTGACAACCTGCAAAGTCCATGTCTTCAGACTCCCATTTGCCCCATGTGTACTTTGACTTCAAAGCTTGCAATGATTCAGTGAACTTTGGATGACTTGAGCCACCGATCAACACGTCATCGACGTGAACTCCTGCAATGCCGATCAGGTTGCGACTGTCATCAAACAACACGAACAAGCAGCGGTCTCCCAGGATTGTCTCCCAACCAATGCTCTTCATTGTGTTGCACAAATCATTGAACCAACATCGAGGCGACTGCACCAAACCATAGAAGGCCTTGGAGACCCGAGCCGGCATAACCGGATGGTTCGGATCGGCCCCAAACAACACTGCAAGCTCAGCCGGAGTCCAAACATTCAGCTCCTGAGATTCCAAGCTTTCCTCGGCCTGTAGAAATGCAGCTGTCACATCACCAGCCTGTAGGTTGAAGCCGTTGTTAGCGCAAATTGCCAAAAGGAGATTCCTGGACAAACACGCCATGGTAGGTGCCGCTGTTTCCACTTCGCCAATGTTTGGCGCCATGAATCCCAGCACGACTAGGCGAGCCTTCGCCTCACCCGACGCCTTGCGGGTCAGGACCCATCGCATCTGGAGCATCTTCTTGGGGTCCAGTGATGCGAACTCAGCCTTAGACAGAGACCTCAAGGCTTTGGATCCAAGAACATTGGAAAGCTCACGTGCTTGGGCAATGTCAAACTCTTGCTTCTGATCCAATGTCATCTGTGACCAGCGAAGCTCTCGTCCTTTCTCTTGCATCTTGCGAGACAGCCAAATAGAGGATTTGGCAGGGTGCTTCGACAAAAACTTCAGATCTGGCTCCGAGACATCGATCTCAAGGGCATAGAATACCTCCTCGGGAGTCTTGCTCTTTGGGGTTGTATTGGTGTCCTGCAGCAAGTGGATCTCTCGCTCAGTCATGAGCTCTGCTGAAGAGGCTGCGGACTCCTCGGACTCAACTTCACTTGGGACCTCGAGCTCCTCAGCTTGAGGTTCAACATCAACACGGCCGTCTTTTTGGTTGGACCATGTAAACTGCGAGCCATCTGCATCCATGTGGGGGCCACTATGGCCTCCAGGAAGCTTGCACTCCGATGTGGAACACGGAGGCTTGTCATGCACGCCCGGAACGCCATCGACTGCGCAAGGACCGCGGTCTCGAAGGGCGGTAGTCAACGGGCTAATTCCCGGCACATCTGGCAGCACGGATCCTTGTTGTTCATCTTGTGGTTCATGTTCTGGACCTCGTTTGGAACTGCTGCTTTGTGCCGCTTCGCTCTTCCTCTTGGTGCCAGCCTTGATTCCTTTGGACTTCTTCTGGCCAGTGTCAACAGGGAGCGGCTTCTCTCTTTTCTCACGCCCAGGCTTGGGCACGGACTGCTTCATCTCAAACTTGGTCTCTCCAACCCAGCGGTCTTGCAAAGAGCGATTGGGGTCTTCAGACTCCTTGTAGTCATCATTGATCTCGAACTGTTCAGAGTTCTCTTGAAGACCTCGGAGGATTGTAATGCGACGACCTGTCAACTCATCCTCTGCTGCTGGGCATGATGTAGTCCGTGATGGTGTGAACATCGCCAACCGTGGGAGAGAGTGCACACGGATGAGCCATCGACGTTCACCTTCTTCTGTGATCTTCCACGTGTCTGGTCTGTAGACAGCTTGTGGCATCTGTCTGATCTCAGCTCCTTGAAGATCTTGTTGTAGCTGCTCTTGAGAAGGTACCTGACCAGTGACATCTGAGAAATGTCGTCCGGCGAAGGATTGGAGGAGACTTTCCAACGTGACAGGAAGCTTGAGGATGGCTGTACCCTCAAGCATGGACTTCATCTCCTCACGACGAGTGCACTGCCTCACTTGAGTCGTCCTAGCACGGATGAGAGTTGCTCCGGTTGCCAGCCACAAGGTGTTGCCTTCTTGTAGAAGAAGTCGGACTGGTCCAATCCATGCGCCTGTCGTTTTGCCTGGCTTGTTCCTCTGCCGCCATAGCATCACCAACTGTCCAGCCTTGAAGGAGGTAACAGGTTGAGGAACTGTGTTGCCAAGCTTCGAAAGTCGCACTCGTGCAGATTCCATCTCAAAAGCCACTCTTGCCTTCTCCTTGAGCTTGAGCATGCCGTCAAATGCCTTGCGGGGCTCCACTCCAATCGGCATGTTCTCTAAAGGTGCTGAAGAGCCTCGGACCCATTGGAAAGGTGAATATCCAGAAGGTCCTATGGACTGGTTGTGTCCATGAGCTGCCAAGATCATGGCCAGTTCAACGGAAGTGTTTGGCCCTTCTTTCAAAAGACGGTCGGCCGTCGACTTCAGGATGCGAATGCAACCCTCCTCTGCTCCAAGCATTTGATGAGATTCAGCAGGCGTAGTCAACAAGCCGATGCCGGAACGTCCGGCATAGTCCATCACCAGCTGCGACGTATAGTATGTCGCTGAATCTGTCAGGAACCACTTGGGAGCAGGGTAGAACATCATCCAACGGCCAAAGATGCGAATCACATCCTCAGACTTTGGCTCCCATGATGGTGGGCCTTCAGGGCCGCCATACTTCTTGAAAAGCTCAACCATGGCCACTCCACTTGCACGGTCCCTCATCAACATAAACTTGTACTTGTGGTTCTGGAACTCGTACTCAAACACGTCACTTCCAACAACTTCCAGAAGTCCTGGCGTCTCATTGAGGGAGGCGACAGGTGCTGATGCAGGGAGCTTTGACTCTGCACAGTCTGGGCACTTGAGCTTGCCCGCCAACTGCACAGCCCAGTCTGGAGCATGACGTGCTCGAAGAAGTCGTTGAAGGTTGGCCATGGAAGTGTGTCCACTAGCCTTGTGGACCCGAAGCATTTGAGCCTTGATCAACTCCAATCTCCGGCCAGTTGGTGCTTCGGAAGGAAAACGACGCTTCGAAATGGCCAAAATGGCCGGGTCCTCCTCTCGAGCCAACTGCTCATACCATCTCCATTCCTTTGATTCCTCCTCCATGAGGATGCCCTCATGCTCTACCGTGATGTTGTTGGCACCATTGCGAAGGTCAATGAAGTAGGTTTCGATGTCCTTTGTCAAGGACCATGAGCTTTGATTGTCTGCCCAGGTCCATGTCTGCTCGATTGCCTTGCAGACGGCCTGAACCATCTTCTCCGGGTAGTAGGCCGATGCCTGAGCCACGGTGCCCCGGCAATGAACGTGTTCATCATGACCTGGACATCGCTTTTGAAGTGCCAACCAAATGTTTCGATCTGTGGTGCAGACAGTCCAACTCTTCTGAACAGGGTAGCCCTTGTAGGTCAAACCATAAGCACATCCGTGGAACTTGCACCAAAACAATGGTCGACGATGTTTCTGGCAAAGTCGCTGAAGACGCTTGATTGCGGAAGATCTCCAGCCTTTGGATGCACCTGTGGGCCACTCCCAGCTCACATGACCATCACTTGCCAGAACAGGTTCCAGACTTTGCACCACCTCATCTGCTCTTTTCAAAATCACGGTTCACCCTTTTCTCAAACGCTGCCCACTCATACTCATCACGTTGGGTCAGATTGGTCAAACCTGTCAATCTGGTGCATGGAAGGCTCACCCATGCTGTCTTGGAGGCTTCGAAGACATCAGTTCACCAAACTTCATAGTGCCTTCTTTCTTCTCCAAATCAAAGCCTTCCTTGTAGTTGATGCGCTGGATGTTGTAGCCCATCGAAGCCATGCATTCCGACAAAGAGGAAGTCGGAGCGCATGCCACCTCACAGAAGTCGGCCTGGTCGGACATCATGCCAAACAGGCCATGCATCGGTGCTGTGATGAGGGCCCCAATGACTGCCATGTTGGTGGCCAATTTCCTTGCCGTTGATGGAGCCACACCAGCTCGCTTTCCACCTCCGGGCCCGGGCAAAGGGAGATCCTTTGCGGCCTCATTCTCATCTCCTCCACCAGGACTGATGCCAGATTCAAACTGGATGGCACAGTCTATGTGCTCTTTTGGAGAGCCATGTCGTGTGGTACCCAAAGGTGCCGATGCGTTCGTAGTGCTCGTAGTGCGCGTGGTGCACGTGATGTCGTGGCCAGTCTTCATCACACTGGCTGCCCTTTCTCGCAAGCTCCTCAGTGAGCACCAGAGTTGCCCGATGCGACTCCGGGTGCATTCTTCACCTCCTCCGGCTCCTCCTCCGATGATGCGATCAAGATGGCTCCCAACGCCACATCCTCCTTGGGCTCCTTCTTGATGTTCCTTCGGGACGCCAAGATCTCTTCCTTGGACTTCTGGCCCGTCACAAACTCGTTGATCTCCTCTGGGTCCAAGGATTCCAGGAACTTGGCTGCTGCCATCTTCAGGAGCTCCGTCTGGGGAATTGGAAGTCCCGCTGCCGTCGGATGGATCTTGGCCTTTGGAGCCGGAGATGCCGGGCTCTTCTCCCTTGCCGGAGAGGTTGGGTCTGACTTCGTTGAGATTCCCATCCTCTTGCAGTACTCCGGGAAGGTCATATTGATGGCCTGGGTGTTCGTGAGGCCCTGCTGCAACTGGGTGCCCTTGAGCTCCATGACCTTGCCGTTCACGATCTTCTCGCTCACCTGACTTGCCGGCATGGTCTGACGGAGTTGCTCCAGGGCTGCACTGATCAAGTGCGGGTGCGGGCCCATGTGCCTCGAGTCGCCCTCGAAGTCCTTCTTGCTCACATAGCTGGTCCGCAGGCCGCAAGCCTGACATGTCGTCCAGCTGGCGTACTGGTTCTGCCTCATCTTGGGCTTGTGTTCCCCAAAGCAGGGGAAGCTGCTGAGAGCTCTTGGATCGTCCACAGCGCATGGCAGCTTGGCCTTGTCCATGTCGAGCGATCCGGGTCCGAAGATCTTCCAGCCTTCGAGCCAAGGTGCTAGTGGAATCGGCTGTTGATGGCATACTCAAACAAGAAGTGGACATCATCAAAACTGTTGGTGGCAAAGAAACACGTTCCACAACTGACTGATTTGCACTGCTCATACCAAAAACACTCAAATCTGTTGCGACTGCCTTCTCCAACAAATCAATGGAAACATGTGATGATGCATGCGGTGCCATCTGAACTGCTGACCATGTCTCCTCATGAGGTGCTTGATACAGAAACAAATTGCGCTCGTAGGCCAGCATTGCTTTTAGCTCTCTCAATGTCTTTCCGCCCATGAGTGGCGGAGTCTGGTGAGCCTCATTGCCCAACACGTAAAAGGAAATCGAGCCCAGTGAAGTTCCCTTCAGATCAACACGGCTCTTGGCCTGAGCTTGTAGGCCGTTGCCAAACCGAAAAACCGGGCGGTCTGCCGTGGTCACCTCATGGTCCAGTCCTGATGCTTCAAGCATGTGCTGGAGAGCGGTGGAGCCGACGGCATTCTCAGATGCCCCTGTATCGATGATCACACGACAGCCCTGCACTTGTTCCTTGAAATAAACGTGCAATGGAAACAGGGGAACTGTCAAAGAATGAAACAAAATTGGCTTGCCGAAACCCTTGCCCTTCTTGGACTTTCCCTTGAAGCCCTTGCCGAATCCCTTGCCAGAGCCCTTGTGCGAAGTCGATCGACCCTTGGCAAAACGGTCAGGGCACTGACGGTAACTGTGGTTTGGCTTGCCGCAAATGAAGCAAGGTCCCCAGCCGCTCTTCCCAGAAAATGAGCTCTTGCCTCCACTGGAAGGGCTTGATGCCGGCGACTTTGTCTTGCCCTTGCCTGTCATGGACTCAGGGGCGTAGTAGCCCCGAGCTTGGCGCACTCGGCGCACTGCATCTCTTGCCTCAGCTAAGGTCTTTTGGGCCTCGTTGGCCAAGGTGTAGGCCTCAGCATATTGCTGTTCAAGTGGATCTTCGTCACCTTCTGCAACTGGCAATTCCTCTGGTGGCCATTCTGACCAAGGTGAATCTTCCATCCACTCCTCATCGTGACCTGGCCAGGCGTGCCAGTAGGCTTCTTCATCATGCCCTGGATCGCCATACCAATCGTCATAGGGCCATTCTTCAATCCAATGATCCTCATGCGATTGGTCATAACCAGCGTCCTCGTTCCACCATACCTGCTGCTTTCGGGTCCAGCCCCGTGATTGCTCGGCATCCTCCTCGGTGGCAAACAAAGTCCTCAATGCTCTTCTGATCATGTGGAATGCCGTGGAGTTGCCTGTTTGCGTCAAAACATTTTGACGTTCAGCCGTCGACAGTCTTGCCGCCTTCAAGAGGCGGTACCCCCTCAACTCATCTTCAAAAAATCACCAACAACTGATGTCGAAGCGTCACCACCAGGTGCCCTATCCCGTGCCTCCTGCGGTGTATCTGGCGGGATCCGGTCAGCATACCGGGATCCGGTCAGATTGATGGGGCTTTGGGATGGCGTTGAAGGCGGAGGTCGTGCAACTGGGTCTCGAACAAGGTCAGCGTGCGACAACAAATTGCGGTCTTGTCTTGCACGCTTGAGGGCCTGTTGCAATTGCACAAACAAATCTTCTTCCCTGACAAGGAGTTCTGGAATGCTTTCCTGTTGACCCCTCTTCAAATGATGCCAAACATCTAGGCGCTTGAAGCTGTCAGGAACTGGGAGTTGCTGAAGGGGAGATGTCCTCAACACTGTCAACAAACGCTGAAGTCCTTCGTCCGATGCAAACTCATCTGGATCTAGGTGCTTAACCACGGCCTTTGCAGGTCCAGTCAAGCGAGCCCAAATCTTCGGTGCAGCTTGGGTTCTCTCGCTCGGCTTGAGCGACTTTTCAAACCAGCGGCACGCTATCACGAAGCTTTCAAACTCCGAAGGGTCCCCACTCCAGGTCGGGACTGCAGCAGATTCAACCATGGCGAACCGAGGAGCCCCGCTTTGGGGGCTCCGCTACCATGAAGGTAGCACAACCGAACACGGGTGGCGTCGACCGACGACGCACGGACGCGAAGGCGCTATGCCAGCATGCTTTTCTGGCTCATTGATCCCGCCCTTGCGGTAGCGACGAACGTGCTGGTGTACCCTGTGTGGAGTCCATGCGTCACATGTCATGAATGCTAGGTCCATGCTGTCCAGAAATCACAACTAGTAACAAGAAGCTACTAGGTGGAGGCCACATTTATGGCAAACACTTGGCCTGGATAGCCAGGTGGCGCATAGTAGCCCGGAGGTCCAGGATAACCTGGACGCAAGCTGAAGTTTTTCCTGGACCAACATGTAAAACAAGTTAGGTTGGAGGCCATCGCTAGGGTGGAGGCCATTTTAAGTGCCCCTTCAGCATGCCAATACATGCCAGTACAACATCTAGCACGGCTAATCCGGACCCTCACACAACCCTTTCTCTGTGGCTGTACCTCCAACTGCCAGTTTAGCCGGTCCGAACTCCCATTGGATGACCCAACCCCCTCACCACGACTGCACTCCAACCATATTGTGAAACTCATGCTCTCCACCTAGTAGCTTCTTGTTACTAGTAGCGATGCACTTGTTCCTAGTAGCTTCTTGTTACTGGTCGCGATGCACTTGTTCCTAGTAGCGAACATTGTTACTACTAGCGTGGCACTTGTGAATACTAGCGTGGCACTTGTTACTACTAGCGTGTGATGTGTATGAGAAAGGAACCACATGTAGCTTAGGCCCACGAAGGTGCCGCCATGCCCAAGAGTACCTCTTGCCCTCGCCAAAAGGCCTTGGGCCCTGGCCTTTTGCTTTCACAAGAGTGCGTTCATCATCGTCGATCTCTTATAGGATTTGGAGGAGTGCTGTGAGTGCTCTTAGGGAGGCCATTGCTTCATATTGCTTCTAGGTTGCCTGTACAGTGCGCGTCTGCTAAGGCCGCTTGTCTCGTACAGTGCTACCGCCGATCAATCGGCGCGGCGTCGATCTGAGGCGAAGGCCCGGTGGAGGATACATCGGCGGATAGCCCGGCGGTGCTAAGTGAGGCCTCACCGACCAGAGCGTCCCGCAGAGGTCGGTCCTACCCGAATGCAAACAAGAATGTCGTTCACTTTGACCCCTTCTGCATTTAAGTTCTTTCATGTTTTTTGACCTTCAACCTTATTTTTTGTGCATTCTTGTTCTTTCTACGTTCTTCTTTCTTCTTTTAAGTCTTGGACTTAGCTGCCCCTTATTACTTACGGAACCGGGCATGACGCCGGTCGGGAATGCGTTCCGCACTTTGAACAGGCTTTCTTTCAATTGGCTGCTCTCCATTCCTCTTGGCCAAGCTGCGGAGGATATCCGAAAGGCGCACCCGGTGGCCTCCAAGGCAACTCTCTCAGCTTCTTCAACCACAAAGACACGGAGATTGAACGAAATGAAGCGCAAGCGATAGCGAGGAACCTAGTAGCTTCTTGCTCCTAGTAGTAAGGCCAGGAGCCCCTAGTAGCGTCTTTGCTCCTAGTAGCTATAGAAAAAGTTGCTCATAGTTGCTCTTTGGGGGGTCAGTTTCCTGTCTCCCGTCGCTTGTCCCGCATGCAAGTGTAAGGGCCCCACGGAAAGCCAAAGGGTGGCGGATGGCCAGGGAAGGGAGCCTGCTATATCAATCTCTTCAGTGGAGATTAGTTGGTCTAGTAGCAAGGTCATCGCTATTAGGAGCAAGGATGCTACTAGGGGCTCCTGGCCTTACTACTAGGAACAAGAAGCTACTATTCACTAGTAACAAGGGCATTACTAGTAGTAACAAGAAGCTACTAGTAGCATTCAACTTGAAACGTGACTTGTGGAAATGGCTCAAGCCCAGACTGGGCCGCAGACTGGCATCATAGGCCTTCGTTGGCACGATATGCCATATAATTAATCATATATGATGCATCTTTACCGTTGAAGAGCTGTTGGATCACCACACTTGATCCAATTGCAAACTCACTGCCTTGCTGTGCAGGCATTTCCAGCAAGAGCCCATGTAGAGAAGCTGTAAAGTAGCCACAATCTTCAAACGCAATTTGGATGGAGGCCATCGCTAGCAGGTTAGAGGCCATTGCTTGCAGGTTGGAGGCCATCACTACTAGTAACTCAAAAGAACATTGCTTATTGAAAAAGAATTGAACAGATGTCCTACTCTTTGGATGGAGTTACATGGTAATTTTACGTCGGTTCCGTGCACAAATCATGCCATGTGCAATCAATAACAACACCGCAGGTTGCATACCGATTCGGTCGAGGCATCCACTGCACATGGCCCATCAAACATCCACAAATGAGGCTTTGGCGGTGGTGCGGCCTTCAGTGAAAGGGTTGCAGAGCCAGACACGTTACTTGCAAGAATGCTTCATGTAACTGCTGCCGTCCGCTTCTCAAGCTCAGAATGATCTGGAACTTGAAGAAGAACTGTGCTTGCTTTGAAAAACAACCCGGTGTATGAGATGTGTCCAGCTGCTGCGCCTTGGCATCCCGAATGCGTGATAGCACAGCGGACGAAGGGTTGCGGGTGCCCCGCAAGTCCTGCACACCAGACAGGTCAAGCTGAAGCGTCACAACAAGAATGCCAAGCGCTTCTAGGTTGGAGGCCATATCTGTTTGCTTTTAGAATGCCGCGATGCTTTTAAGCCAAAGAACTAAGCTGCCGCAATTCCTTTCAAACAGCTGTCACTGTCCCCTTTGCTCAGCACCAGCGCAATCACGTATGGTGGACACGCCTGGAACTGGGCATTAAAGTTCCATGTCCCTTAATGCCGCAACCAGTGGCACCAGGCAGTTTGCTATTAGGTTGGAGGCCATTGCTGTTAGGTAAACACAGACGACAATGTCTGCCCACCTTGAGCTGCGCTTCGGCACCTGAGGTGAGGTCGCTCAATCGGGTCACAACTCTCGCTCTCGTGAGGAAGTTCAGAAACAGAAAAGAATGAACTAGAATAACATTAATAGAACAATCAATATATAAAATAAAAAGGGAATTAATTGGTATATAATACGTAAATAATAGATCATCGAAGGAAATCATATCGTCGAATATGAATTGCATTGAAACTCTTGAATGACTGAGGCTGGCACTTTCATCTAAGTCGTTGTTGTCGATAAATGCATCTATTTCGTCTGCCTCAGTCTTCTTCTGCCTACTTTGAGTTGAAATATGTGTTCGTGCGCATTCGAGACGAGAACCACCCCAATTTGCAATTGTTTGATTCGCGAATCATGTAATTCTATGGCCTCCAACCTAGCTTTAAATTTGCCAAGCAGAAACAAAAGCAAACCCTAGTGTGAATGTCCACGACAGACTGGCGACAGGCTGAGCTGTGCACAGTTGGCATCGGCGGTGGCATCCCTGGAGGAGCCAAACCTGCCAGGTCTTTCTTTTGCTTCCAAAGGAAGCAGCTATCTGGGACTCATCCCTCATCACGTTCGTCTAATTCGTGATGATATGTCATACAAAATGTCACGAAATCTTTGAGAATAGTAGCTTCTTTGCTCCTAGTAGTAAGGCCCTTGCTCCCAGTAGCAATGCCCTTGTTACTATGTCTTGGAATGACTATAGTTGCACTCGCCACGACATATCGCTCAAGAGAGCCGGTGGGACTGACGTTGCCACTGCCGCCGGCTTTCACATCTCTGATTTTGGCCTCGAGGCCATCGATTTTGGCCGCAAACCATGTCTGTTCAGAGACGTGGCTGCCAAAAGAAACTGGACCGGTGAAAGTCATGGTCTTCTAAGACTCTTGTGACCCTTGTGTGTGTTTTGCATGTTGGCTTGGAGATGTTTGGGGATTCCTAAACATCTGCCGGCCAATAATTCAATCTGCCTGAGCATCCAGTCCATAGCTACAAACTTGGTGTTGTATCGACTCTGAGACTTCCACCATGAGAGCCGCAGAAGGATCATAGGCGCCTCAGGTGCAATTCTTTAGAATTCATGTAGGGACGCTACTAGGGGCTCCTGGCCTCGCTACTAGTAACAAGGACGCTATTAGGGTGGAGGCTTCCTGGAAACCGGCCTATCACATCGCCGCTCGACAGCACTGCTCGCTTCACCGTTGGAGAACAGCTTCTCAAGGCCGCAGCCTGATTTCAAGATTCGTTGCATGTTTGTACTTAATATAAACAAGAAGCTACTAGAAACAAGTGCCTTACTAATAGTAACAAGAAGCTACTAGGAACAGCTTTCAGTCAACGACCCAAAGAAGGCGCTTATGTTAGAGCATTGCCCACCCCAAAATGCCTAAAAACAAACTTAAAGTCCTGCAAAGAAATACTAAATACTCTCTAAAGTCCCACTTGGGGGAGTTGCTATCGCAAGCGCAAGCTGTGATTGCTATACGTAGAAAATGTTTCGTTTCAAAGAACATGAGGCGTAAGCCGAATGAAGGGCAACCTAAAGCCTTTTAGTATCTGGCACTAGCTTTCGGAACTGCATTCAACCTACTGGCGATGGCCTCCAACCTACTAGCTTTCTGCACTGCACTGTGACTATCTGTGACTATACCTCATGCAAGTCACCCGAGACCCCCGCGGCAGTTTCATTGACACCATTCGCCTTGAGGTAGCCATTCACCTCTGCACCTGGGTGCTCGAACAAGCGTGAGAACCTTCTTTCTCTTTAGGCCTTTCTGGGACTTTCAGTGTGCATATCCTTTGCACCTTCAAGATCTGAGCTAAGGGAACAGCTGCTGGGCAAACCCATGGGTCTGGGCCTCATTGAGGTGGCCAGTTCCATTGAAATATATGGTAACATCCCTACCAGGTAGGCCCCATATGGCATCTCATAACATTTCAATGGCCTCCACCCCAGTAGTGATGGCATCTCAATGGCATCTAGTGACTCTAGTGGCTGAACGCTACTAGGGGCTCCTGGCCGTACTACTGGGAGCAAGAAGCTACTAGGAGCAAGGACGCTACTAGTGGCTGAAAATGGCTGAGGGCCGGGACGCTTTCCCGCCCGGCCGCTCTTCGACGCGCGCATCACGAATCCGAACCTCAGCATCGGTCAATTGCATATTTGTTCTGTTTCTTAGTATTTGTTCGACCTTGATAGCCCATTTGAGACCTTTCGTTTCCTCTTTCTTTTTTGTATTTTCGTTTCTCTTCTCCTTTAGACCTATTCTTCATCTCTCAATTAGGTTTCGGCGAGCACGGCAGCAGAGGGGTTCCGCGCCTCAAACATTGAACTGTGCCCTGTTGTCATGGCCAATGGCGGCTGGGGCACCAACACTATTCAAATCTCCCCTGCAGAGAACGCGCTTTTGGACCTGCAGAGAACGTCCAAAAGCTGATCTGTCCTAAATTCTGTCACTGCAAAACGCTGTGACGCACAACCTCGGGAGGGCATTCTCTCAGGTCTTGCGCAGCGCGTTCCTCAATTGAACAAAAATCACTGGGATAAACAGGGCTCGCGGCTGCATGCTCAGGTTGCTGCGTCTACTTTGTTGTGTCGGATGAACCTTAGGAAGGACCAGCGCACTCGCCACAAACGGGTAACGAACTCACTACATAGCACCACAAACCCAAAATATCCCAAGATCAGGGATCGGCTCGTCGACTTCTTCGGCAGTGGGAGGTTTGCTCTCCTGACCATGAGAAATGGACAAAACGTGCATTGCTTGCATCGACTGGCAACAACTTGACGCCTCATCAGACGATTCTCCAGAACTGGGCATACTTATTTATCGCCACCTGCCCAGCTGCGATGCGAGAATCATTGCACTTTTTCACGTTCAGCTGTCCAAACTCCACGCCACCTCAACAGCATCGTGCAGCAGGTTAACCCCCACAAGCACTTGCAACCGGGCAGTTGTGAGCCGAAATACTGCAAGCAACAGAGGCCCCTTGACGCGCATATGATAAGTTGTAAAAAACATCCAAACCGCAAATGGCATATCAAAGCGCTGCATATTACAAGATGTGTCCAACTGAGGCTCGGGTTTGGGAAAGGGTCCAATCTCAAATGCTTCCGTGGAGTGAAGCTATGGCAAACAACCTAGTGTTGTCGCCCTAGTGTTGTCGCAGGCTGACTCCGCCTTCATGTTCCAAACCTTTCAGGCCGAACTATGCACAGGAGGTGATGATGGTTTGCAGCGTGCGATTTGGAAGAAACCACTCACCTCCGGGAAACTAACCTGTGAGTCATGTCGCACACGGCCTGTACAAAAGATTCGCTCACCTGCAGGTCACCCAAAACAAATGAAGTGGAAGTTGAAAGACCATCACCTCGTTCCAAGTCAGCGTAAACGGCCCGCCACAAAGCAGCAATCACCTTGACCTGGACCACGTGCCGGGTGCACTTCAGCTCGACCTCGTGACATGCCCTGACTGTGTGGTTGAGCTGACTTGCATTGCTCGTCCAGGAACTCCCCAAAGATATTCCAAAGATATCCTCTAGTCGACGGGTTTCATGTGGCACCAAACCCTGCATCCATTCTGCCTTGGAGATGCCTTGTCCAAAAAACATTTCTTCGCGCAGTTTTTCAAGTTTTGGATACATGTTGGGATACATGTGGCGGTAATTAGATGCCCTCTTTTGCCAAAGTCTGTCCAACCAGATGCAAGGCATCAACAATTTTTCGTTTATCTGCTTCCGCCTACACGAGCTCTTGGAACAGCTCAAGGTCCGCTTGCACTTCCAAGAGTGCATGGAAATCATCTGGACTGTGCGGCCTCGGGTCACACCGGATATTCGGAGATGCTAGCACAACGTGCTCAACTAACTTGTGCTGCACCTCTGGTGTCTGGCAGGTTCAAATCATCTTTATCACATTCAATAACTTGCCTCAACGGGCCTCTTTTGCAAAGTTCAAGCACTTCGTAAAATTTGCCGTTGTGCGTGCAAGCGCGCACGCTAAACCAACGGTGTGTTCGTTCCGCAGGCCTTTCAAAATGCCAAGTCCTTTTTGCAACCTGAAACAGGTTGACAATGGCATCAACCAAGTCATGCTCATGTTTTGCTGAATATGCCAAGGTCACTCACCCTCAAACACTCTTTGTGTGCCAAGAACTTTGAAGCAGCGGGTTCTTGCCATGGGCGTGTCCGGCTGCAGCCAATGCACTGAAATTTCAACCTGTGTGAAGCGTGCTACGCGGGACGCGCCAACCTTCATGGCCCCATTCTTGAGGAGAGTTTCCATCGCGAGAGCTGCGATACCATTGTCGAACGCCTTGGCTCACCTTTGCTGCAACGCATGTTGAGGGAGAGTCACAAGAAATGGGTGGAGGAAGGCTACATGAGCCAGCGTCTCAGTATATGGATATACTTTCTCCAGGTTCCATCGCAGTTTCTTAGAGCCTTAGGGTCCTGGAACATATGTTCCATGTTTTTAGGAACTTTTAGGCATCTGCACGCCGCATTTGTTGTTGCTGCTTCTGGTTTGCTGGCAGCCGGTCTGCTCCTGCTGCGCTGCCCCGCTGCTGATCTGCAGGTTCTGTTCTGCTGCCGCAGCAGCTCCTGGTGCTCTGGTGTTTCATTGCTGCCGCTCGCTCGTGCCTGTCTGCTGCTTGCCTGATTTTGCCGCTTCTGCTGTTGTGAACACATCATAAGTGCACGCACCTTTGACTGTCCCAGGCGAAACCGGTAAAGAAACCAGGAAGGCACAAGGACCTGCTTCGTTTTTGCTGTGCGTGGGTCATGTTCTCAGGAATTTACGAAGGATGGCCTGGCTTTAAGGGGGGCCTGGGCCGCAGAAGGTTCCTGAAGGCTTGGAAAATTTACAAAATTTGTTATTGGCAAACCTGCTGGTCCAGCAGCTCGAAGAGCGGGAAACATCTGACGAGCAGAGAGCGCCTGCGAAAGGTTCTTCGCAAAAAACATCTGCAGAACTACACGTCATCTACATCTTCACATCTTCACCTCTGCACAATCACATTCTCACCTATATCTCTGCTCGTCTTCACATCTGCATTTCTACATCTCTGCTCATCTTCACGTCCTCACATCTACATCTCAGCTCATCTTCATCTTCATTCACACATCGACATCTCTGCTCATGTTCACATTTGCACATCTACATCTCTGCTCATCTTCGCAGCCTCACATCTACATCTCTGCTCACCTTCACATCCTCACATCTACATCTCACATTTTCACCGCTCGCTCTTCTTAGTTTTTTTTCTTTAGGCCCGGGGCAGTGCCGCCGCACCGCCACGAAACGCAACCCTCTGCGGAGATCGTGCGTGTCGAGTGCGCGAAATGCAGGCGAGAGTGCGATTTGTCTCGGTGGCGGGCAACCCTCTGCAGAGATCGTGCGTGTCGAGCGCGCGAAATGCAGGCGAGAGTACGATTGGACCCGGTCCGGGACAACCCTCTGCGGAGATCGTGCGTGTTGAGGGCAAAATGCGGGCGACAGTGCGATTGGACCCGGTCCGGGACAACCCTCTGCGGAGATCGTGCGTGTTGAGGGCAAAATGCGGGCGACAGTGCGATTTGTGTCTGTCCGGCGCAACCCGCTGCGGGACTGTGGACTTCGTAGTGCAACTGTAGTACGCGGAGCAATCTGCGCAGCTGGAAGCTGAGAACTGGCGACTTTGTAAGACAACTTGCGTACGCGGAGTGTCTGGGGAACTGGAAGCTGAGAACTGGCGACTTTGTAGTCCAACTTTAGTACGCGGAGCAATCTGGGGAGCTGGAAGATGAGAACTGGCGACTTTGTAGTACAACTTTAGTGCGCGGAGTATTTGGGGAGCTGGAAGATGAGAACTGGCGACTTTCTAGTACCACTTTAGTACGCGGAGCAATCTGTGGAGCTGGAAGCTGAGAACTGGCGACTTTGTAGTGCAACTTTAGTACGCGGAGCACTCTGGGGAGCTGGAACTGAGAACTGGCGACTTTGTGGTGCAACTTTAGTACGCGGAGCAATCTGTGGAGCTGGAAGCCGAGAACTGGCGATTTTGTAGTACAACTTGAGTACGCAGAGTATCTGGGGAGCTGGAAGATGAGAACTGGCGACTTTGTAGTACGCGGAGAAATCTGTGGAGCTGGAAGCTGGGAACTGGCGACTTTGTGGTACAACTTTAATACGCGGACTATCTGGGGAGCTGGAAGATCAGAACTGGCGACTTTCTAGTACAACTTTAGTACGCAGAGTATCTGGGGAGCTGGAAGATGAGAACTGGCGACTTTGTAGTACAACTTTAGCTGTGGAGCTGGAAGCTGAGAACTGACGACTTTGTAGTACAACTTGAGTACGCGAGCAGATTTCTCTCGCGGCTGAGTCATCTCTCGCGGCTGCTCTGGCGCCCCTGCAGCTGAGTCATGTCTCCCGACCACCCGGATCTCTTGAGAGGTTGACAAATTTTAGCTACTTTGCTTACTCATAAGTGGCTGCCACAAAAGAGTCATCGTGACGTTAATATGTGTGTACTTCACCTTCATGACAAACGATGTTTGCTTGGAATACACGAGTCGCTTGTCATGATCGTGACGTCGTTTACTCTCAGGTCGCCCTGCTCGTGGAAATTTCAGTGTGAAATGTGCGTTCTTCAGTTCTAGTTGAACCTCTTCAGCGTTGTACTTGCACGACTAAAGTTGACGTTGCACTGCCGTTGCATCGACGCATCTACGTCTACACCCCCTCACCTCTCTACATTTACATCTTCACACGCTCACATCCGCAGATCTACCTCTCCACCTCACCACACCCACACATCTGCACATCTATATCACATCTGTACATCCACACTGTCGCTTCTTCACATCTGTCCTGTCTTTCTTTCTTTCTACATATCTTTTCTCTCGTCTCTGTGCATTTACATCTTCGCACGCTCACATCCACAGATCTACCTCTCCACCTCCATACATCTACAGATCTATATCGCACCTGCACATCACACTGTCACTCCTTCACATCCACCCTCTCTTTCTCTCTCTTCACATCTTTTTGACAGTGCTGGACAATTACATGTCTCGCTCTCGGGCCAACCGTCGTCTAGTTCCTTAAACAGTGTGGACACACACTCACACTCCCTCACGCTCTCGCTCTCACCCGCACTTACTCTCACCCACACTCACTCTCACCCACACCCAGTCACACCCACCATCACTCTCACTCGCTCACGCTCACACTCAAATTCACTCACTCAATCACCACCACCGCCACCGTCACCACGATCCCCACCTTCATCACCACCACCACCTCTGGACGCCAACGCGTCTAGATCTCCAGACTTTCTGCTTGCAAGACCTCACGCACACGCACTGTTTGGGGTGTCTTGCCGGGATAGTTTTTTTAAACACCGCAATGTGTTCTATGCACTTCTCCACATGAAGGAAGAAGCACCCAAACTTGAAGATTTCCAATTGGAGAACGCGAAAATAAACATCGATCTCTCCATGGAGATCGGCAGAGGTGCTGCAGCCAATGTATACAGAGGCATCTATGATGGCTGTCCACAAAGCAGTGCGCAAACGCTTCAAGGAATTCTAGGAACGAAAACAACGATCAACGCTCACAAAACTTGGAACAAGTCCTTGTCAGATCTGAGGTTCATCAAGCGGGTGACAACCATGCCATTTGTGGCATCAAATCCCTGCAGGAGGTCAGCTGCAGGCGCATCAGGCCTTTCGCAAAACTTGTTGATGGCATCTGCCAACCCCTCACGTTGGAACAGC